TTGAGTACCGTTTAAGCCGGTGCTTCGGTACGTGAGAGATGTTGCACTTTTACATTACCTCTCTTGAATAGACTTAACCCTTTCACTGCCATAGGGACGGCTTAAGCCGTCGCTGTTATTTTCGGCGTATTTGCCATAAGGACGGCTTTAGCCGTTTCTATAATAATAATAATAATAATACATTAATAATAATAATAAAGATAATAATAAGTATAAAGAAAATTATACCATCGACAATAATTATTATTATACTAGCATATTTGGAAACATATATAATTATTTTATACTTATAACAAATAATAATAATAATAATTATATTAATTAATAATATAGTAATTTCTTAGAAAGCCCTCTGGCAAATAGGTGATCAATAAAACAATAACCCTCTGGCAGCGAAAGGGTTAATCAAACTGAGTACAGTGTTCAGGTGTTCATTGCACCGCTTTTCCATATTTCTTACAGGCGTACATATATTTTCTGTCCTTAAAATGAAAGGAATGCATGTGTTCGTTAAAAGAAATATTTTACAAATTCAAGTTTATATATAAATATCATATTTTCTCTTTTTCAGTAGAAAAACTAATATTTGTTTCAGGAATATATATTTTGTTTTCTTATCGCTATATGAAGACCATTCAGTCCGGTGCTTTTGGGGTTGATTCTTCAATTTTGTTTATTTGTTTGTTTGTTTAGTTCTTTTGTTTAGACTGCAGAGATGGAAGAAATATCATTGCAGACAAAGATATGAAAACTTTGTCCTTGGTAACAACTTTCTTTTTATACCCACTCCCGAGTTAATAGAAGCTATCACTGCAATTAATTCAATACAGTAACATATATAAGGAATACAACACAACAGACAAATAGCAATACATTATTATTATTATTATTATTATTTTAAATTGTTGGAATTTAATACTATAGATTAATTAATATACTTAAGAAAAAACAAATACCGATAAACAGCATTCAAATTACATTGAAAAAGTATTATTTTGGTAAATATACGTCACTGTGTAAACAACAACATAATCATGTACAATGTTTTATTTATAAACATTTAATACTTAACAGATGCCATATTCTCCACATGTCATTCCACGTCTATATAATATTCATATAGGCATATCATTCAACCAATTACACTGAACAAGTCGAGAACATATTAATACGTCACACTTATATGTGACGTCATATGAATAGTTGTTGATCACGTGACTACTATGGAACAATCTCTAAAACAAGATATTTTTTTCTTCTATGTAATCATCAAAATAAATGACAATTATTCATATAAGAGTAATATATACAGTGTGAAAGTGATACCCTTATTAATTATTCTCAATCATTTACTCGACATTATTTTTCTCATGATGGTAATAAGCCCTGTTCCTGATACGTCACTTTGAATTACTGAGTTCATCATAATCATATACGTACATAGATCACTTGCTAATGTTCAAACTCAAATAAAAATATTTTTTTTTAAAATGAAGAAGAAATATTCTCAGGTTTCTTTTCGGTATTTGAGTCCTTATTGTTATCAAAATTACCAAACTAGAACAGAGGTCCAATTTATTTTCGGTTATTCTTTCCTTATTGTAATTAATGTAACCAAAAAAATAAAAAAAGTCAAGTGCCATTTTAGATTATAATTTTTACATAAATCACAATTTCCTTACAGACAAAAGAAAAGACTCAGAACTAAGAAACTGACCATGTATTATAAATAAATAATTTAAAATGAATAAATAAATAAAATAAATAAAATAATTAAAAAAATAAATGAAATAAATAAATACAGTTCATTGTGGACACATGGTTGATGGTTGAAACACACAAGGAATGAAGTGCAGACTGATTGAACGTCATTTACACGTAATGTGACGTGGTTTTTCCTTTGTTGAATCTAATATCATTATTTCTCACCTCTTTCTATCCCACGAGATTGAAAGCTCAGATTTCTGAGATTTCTCGGAGATTTCCATGTAAGAACTAATTTTCAGTACAATGGATACAATCACATTTGACAAGTTTTTAAATTATTCAACACATTTTCGCAAATCTAATTTGTTTCAAATGTAAATTTATTTTAATAAAATATTACAGAACAAACAATTGCTAGTCTCAATGATCTCTCGATAATTGATTAATGGGTTTTAGACGATGTGTCACTAGCTTATAAATTGAATGTTTTGCATGAGAAACAAAGTAACATACAAAAAGCGAGTGAAATAGAATTTGTTTAAATTCAAATGTATATTCATTTATCTATAGAATGATAAGTTGTTTGTTTGATAACCGTATGTAAAGACAGAAGACAAATTTAAATTAATGTATATGAGTTGACGACTAAAATATTCAATACCTTGATAAAATGATATTTATACAATGTTATATACCTAGTATAATTATGATTTCTATGGCACACTGAAATCTGTCTGGGAAATAAAAGTTGTATAAGATTGACTATAAAGTTTACTTATCTATCTGGTCATTATGTGTTATATTTTAAGTGGTGTGCTCAACAGATAAGATTTCTTCATGTTCATAAAAAAAAACGGAAGAAAAAAACTACATCATCTCGCATCTTTGTTTGAGTAATTGGTCACTAGTTGTTTTTCTTTACATAATTTGCAGGATGCAACATGAGATTTAAGGAAATTAGTTTGTTTTGAGACAATAGAGAATAATGTGCTCTTAAAGATATTCCAAAACAAATTCTTACTGGGTTATTTATAACATACCGTTTCGTTCACAGAAACAAGTATCCTTTTTTCTGTTGAAACATGACTTAAACATGTAGTTATGTGGGTTTTATGTAACCCTTTCTGATATTTCAATTGAAGAAATTTTTACAGTTATTGTGTTTTTATGGATTTAAGTAACGATACAGTGGTGTTAACAATAATACATTATAGGAGAGTGATGAAGCAAAATAGACACTGGAACTTACAAAACATTTTAGAGACGGCAGTGAAAAACAAAATAAAGATATCAATTGTAAATGTTTTTTCTCGTTTTTTATGTTTTTGTGTTTATTTTTTTCATTTCCTACTCTTTTTTTGAAAAAAAAAGATATGAAATCTTAACAATCAATCAAATTACTCTTTCGCTGGGTATTTAGAATTGGAATTACTCTACTCTGATATTATACCATCAATAAAATCAAAATATTTGCTATCAACGCAAATACACTATATATTTTTGCATTTTATTTTAATAGAGAACTAAATCAGTCTGTCCTATTAAATTCTAAACTATACATAGGATTTACTTTTTCAAACTCACGACTATTTAAACAAGACTGAACTCTAGGGCAGCACTTTCTGAAGGTCGATAATGTCATGCATGCTTCTGAAATCATTCACGCATGACTAATAATGATTGAAATCTCATTAGTAATAAAGCAACATTCAAGTATAAGCTCTTTTCTGCGTGGAAGGGAAGTCAATTTTGTTTCGTTTGTTTTTATGACTTAACTTAAGTTTCCGTTTAATAATATAAAATTAAATTTTCATCAACATGTAAAAAAGCCTGAAACAAGTAAATCCCTCGGTCACTACCTAGTGTAAGTTGTTAATTATCTCTTACGATTTTGTTGTCATTGGATCAAATGGAATTAACAATACACCTGATACAGTACAGTATCTAACCGACCGTCGCTTAATGATAAATCATTAATAGCATTGTTATTAATAAACGCACTAAACGAATCGAGTTTGTTACAAGTGAAATATAGATTCATTCATGTAGTTGAAAAAGTTAAAACCATTACCCACTACTATATTGACAATAATATATTTGCTTTCCAATGTCAATTGGTAGTGAAACAATATTGTCTTTGAGAATGTTCCTAGGCGATTCCGATTACAATGGCTTTTATCTTAATCATCAATGTATCAATAAGTGGAGTTTTATGTAGTATCATTCCATTTATGATGCTAATGAAATTCTCTTTGTTATTTAGACCAAACAATTAGGAAAATCTATACACAAATCATTGAATATCATCCTTTGTATCATGATTAAAGTTAGAAACATTCTGAGATTTAAGAAAATAAGCCTTGTGGCTAAGGGTTGCCTTACCATGTTGAGGCATATTTGCAACCTAAGCGATAGTAAGAGCTTTTGACCCTTGGTGTTGCTTTCAGTTTGTTACTCTCCTAGGTTAGCTGAAAACATTGTTCCTATTTCGACGAAATTGTTTTGGTGTCAAACAAAACATACGCATAAGAAAATAAGATAACCTGCAAAGTTCTAACGATTTAAGAAAATTGAAAAGGATTTTTGGTTGTTAATATTCAAGATATATATTTTGTTTATAAACTACTACGATAACAATAATAATAATAATAATATAATAATGACCAAATACAACAGAGATGATAGCAATATCTGGCAGGCTCCCTTTTATCGATTGTATCTTACTTTCAATTTAATTGTATCGCTGTTTAATAGGGTACAGAGAGTAATTTTAATAGACATATCTGGAAAATGTAAATTATAACCATGAATGCATTTTGAAATAAACTTGCTAAATAAAAATACTTCAGTATATTATAAACTTAGAAAATAATAAAAAAAAAACAAAAAATTAAAAATGCATGGCCATTTTCACTTATCTAATCAGAAGAGCAAATTTGCCAACTCACAAATGGCTACAAAAAGTTATTCCCCGAGAAATTTGCGCTAAGATATAATATATTACTAATAAAAGTATTAGGCGAATATATAATTAGTAAAGTAATAGGCCAATATATTAAAGATATTGGAGACAATTTTGCTGCTTGAATGTCGGCATTCTGTCAAATTAATTTTCGTGTAATTGAATGCCCTAAGCACGATTATATAACCGTAATATATAGTTGTAAATATTCTGGGAAAATCTGACTAATTAAACTATTTCGTCGTCAGCGTCTATAAAGTCCCAAATGGCAGTAAAATAGATCGTTATTAGACATTTTAGCAAATGAATCCGCCTCCGATACTGTAGTTATATTAGTAGAGAGTCATAAAGCGCGGATAATATTTGTGTCGCATAAGTAACGTGTTGACGAATCGATTGAAAACTACAATCCTGATGCGGGAAAGCTCTATAAATTCAGCCGAGTTATCTCTAATGCCTTTACAGTCGTTCACAATGTAACAGTAGCTACAGGAATTATCAGACGCATGTAATAATTGATATAGTCACACAGTTAACCGGTAGGATATTAATAATTATTTTCTTTAGCATGCCTTTTTGTGGGGAATTGATATGTACGATTTGAAAAGCAATAATTGGTACTGGAAATTATGTATCATTTTTGTTTAGGAAATGGAAGTCTAATTAAATTTTAAAACTTGTTAATATGTTTTGATAATATTGTTATAAAGAAAACATAACTATTGCTTTTACAGATAACCAATGGAAAGGTGACAACTTAAATATGCTTTTAAAATAATAAAAAAATGATGAAACGATGAAGAAGGAATTAAATCGTATAAACAACATACAATATTTGAGGATTATCACATTGGATGGTGATACGAAATGAATTAACAAAAAATTAAGGAGAAAAATTAACGGACTCACGTATCCCTACCTAAGGTGAGTATCTTAATTCTGTGAAAATAACATAAACTTATATAAAGCAAAATGCAATGTTTCTATTAGAAAAATACATGTACATTGTATATATAATCGTCCTTCTGAATTTTTAACAATAAAATTAAAGTAAAAAGTTTAACTTATTTGAATCTTTAAATACCAACTAACAACGCATTGTGCATAATTTTCTTTGATATTATACTTAGGTTTCCTTTTTCTTATTTAAAGAAATAAAACATTAATCACATATAAATGACACCAAAAAACTCTACGGGGATAAACAATATATACAATTAAAACTGATTTGTTAAAGTATTGATAACGTTTTCATGGCGTTTCACTCTTTTTCCAGATTTCTATCTATATTTAAGCAATTTGAACAAAACATATTTTGGTCTATTTTAGGGGTATACTGCTTTTTGTACCTAATAATTATAATAAGAAAACCCATTTTCAACATATGTTCTGAGGGTGCGCTGAACATAAAATCGCATTTTATAGAACTGTGTTTTTTATTTGTTGCTAATTGGCAACTTAACAAAATAGTTAATATCTCTATAAGGTTTGGTATAAAGGGTTTTTTGTCTGAAAGAATGTCAAGAAAGGTAAAGCTACTTAAAACACATGGGATAAGCAAATAAATTTAGATTCCCAAAAGGCAGAATTTGCCATATTAGTTTATTATTAATGTCTTTTCATGTTTGTAATCTAAATATATCAATTATTGTTAAGGTTGACATAACTCGGTAAACATTTGTAATTACATGTATATTTATAAAATTGTAGTTTAAGTAGTATTTGGGGAGGTGGTAGTTGCGGTAATGATGGTTGTTGTGTTCTTGTAGTTTTTAGTGGTGGAGAAGATCGTGGTGATTTTGGTGGTGGTAGTAGTACAATAGAAGTAGTGGATGTTGTTGTACTAGTAGTTAGTAGTAGTTTGTAGTATTAAGACTTAGTAGTAGTATAAGTAGTAGCTGAAGCAGCAGCAGCTGCAGTATTTTCAAATACATGTGTTGCGTTCACTGTTTTACTTTCATTTCATATTCAAATAATAAATGAAAATAATTCTTAAACATTAAATATTTAGAACAGGCAAATTAATCGATAGTTAAAACAACACAGTTCGTAAACTTAAATGCTTGTGCAAGTACCATATCGGTATATCTTAAAACTCAAATATATTCATAAACTTTGAATAACAGTTCGAATAGTATGGACAGGTTGCTTTGCTCGAATTAATAAATTATGACTTCAGTCCTCTTTAACGACGCGCGTTTGAAGTAAGAAAATTATAAAACATTTATTGACCTCTATAATCGATTACACTTATTTATTTCTGAAAGTACAGAATAGACCTTGTAATAATTCCATAAGGAATATTTATGTATAATTTATACAATTATATCATATCAACAGTTTTAAAATTTTGAGCCGGATTACATGCAAACCAACCGTGCGATTAAAAATATTGTCACATAAATTGATATACATTTTGCAATCATTAATGTATCTATGTTAGAGGACAATTTCTGTTCCGGTGGACGCTACGTTTAAATGTGTGAAATATTTAAATCAATGAAAACTATTGTCACCGACATTTCCCGATAATACAATAGACTCATGAAATCTAAAACCAGTTGCTTAAATATTTATATATTTCCATTTCAATATTACTCCCGAATCAATTTTCCCGTGACAGATTGAGGCTGCTATACGACACTTTATACGGATTCCGGAATGTAAACAGTTTTTATTCCCATATTAGTTTATGAGGCAGAATAAAATCAGAGCAGGAAAAATATTAAGTGCATTTTTTTACCGACGGGCTTAAAGCTTCACGCCTCCAGATTATATACTTATTTTCACGAACATTTTGAAAATGTACTAAATAGTTAAATATTGTGAAATTAAAAAAGATATTATTTTTTAACATTTCAAACAGCACGTAAAACACATGATTATTACTAAAGTTACTGCGTTAGTACATGTAGTACCGCAGTACATATTGGTGAAAAATACCTAAAATTTAGTCATAAAATGCACATGACATGGACATGTTTTTTCTTGATTCCTTTTACTTTTCATAAAATCTCAGTTCCTTTTCCCCCCAAGTTATTTTGTTTTAAATATTATGGTTCATCTGGAGGCATGCAGCTTTCAAGACGGTGTAAAGGTAAACTCCATTTCTAATGTCATGCTCTCTTAAATGTTCTTTTTACTATACTTAAAAGCCCATTTAACCCCTAAAATACTACTATTTCTATTGCACAAGCACTTTTATTTTTTGGTGTCTTGTTAGATTTCCGAAAAAGTATTCCTTAGCAAATAGCCGAAATATTTTTAGTTCTTTTGCCTTTCTGTAATTTGTACAATTGTATAGAATTAGTGTTTTGTATGGACCTTGTTTTAGTTTCGCTACCTTTACGAAAATTTATTTCACATTCAGCTTGACTCACATACGCATGTATACATCACCTGATTGCCATCTAATGTACTTGATAAACATTTCTAGTATATTACTTAAAGCATGTATGACACTTCTGAAGAAAAGAAAACACAACATATTCATATCTGAGGCATAATGAGCCTAGAAAATATTGTTCTGTTTTGTCTTTGCACTTTTGGTGTACTTTAAGAAGCATTCGTGTATTCACTTATGCTTAGCTTGATGATCTAATTTTGATCTAATGTTTCAAGTACATGAACATGTATTTGTCCATGCGTGTTTGATTATGTTACTCTTGTGTGATTTTAATGATCTCATGCGATGAGATAATATGCTGTCATATGATATACAGATTTGCTTGGCTTAAACGTAGAGACCCAACAGACACGAATTCTACGATAAAATGGGGAATAAATTTCAGAAACAGTTTTGCGATACCAAACATAAGGTATCATTAAATACAATTATAGCTCAGTTATTTTATACTACAAATGTAACAGTGATGTTGTACAATATTTTTTTGACGAAACTTTTTTTATAAACTTAATAATATTCTGCATCAATTTCTTTAATTTCAGGGACATGTCTCATAAAGTTGTTTAAAGAACAAAAGCATACTACAACTTCTAGTGCGTCGTTGGTGAGAAAACATGTACATTGAAAGAAGCTTCAATCTTCAAGAACAAGGAATGTCAGTCGAATTTTTTTTCGTGGGAAATATCTCGTCAACAGATATTCCTGCAACATCATCTTAGCTCCTCCTCCCTGGAGACGTCAGTAGTTATAGAAACGTGTAAGAAAGCGAAACATTTGAAACAGTTTGAAATTCAATTAATTCCTTTGTATTACCGTTCTGTAGGAGTGATTGGAAAAATCGCAATATAATGAAACGTTTGCCAAGAAAAAATATAGAGTTCAGTGTAACACCATGGTACTAGATGATCGGTTTTCTCCCTGTAGTGCGAGATAATTGATAATTTCAGCTCATTATTGAAGCGGTGTAATGACTTCCTACAAAAAGCGCGAGGCTTTATGTCCATGATACGTATATGGAAATTACAAAGGAAAAACGTTTCTCCTCTGAGGCTTACGTGGAAATTCAATGAGGCTTTATTCTGGTCCGATACGTAGAGGCTGTATTAAATAAGCTTGAGGTGTCAGAGGAATATAATATCGTCCAGGAAATTAGTGTCGGTCAGTGAAAATTAAACGTGAGATTACAGCCTTATCATTTCATATGTATGTATATAACGCATATAATCGGATGAGTGAGTATCTGTATTGGTAGTCGAATTTATGACACTTTAATGTATATCTTTTTATGAAAGATATCCTCATATATTTTCGAAGTAAGTAAGATCGTGTACGCATTACTCCTTCAGTAAATATTGCAGAGAAAGCCTGTGTTCCAGCGAGTATTTATTGGAATACTTAGTATAGAAGCATTTTTATTTGCATAAGAGGAAGTACCATTTGAAATGTCGACAATCATCGAGAACCCTGAAATACCTCTTGTCGGAATGAATGGTAGAAATAAATTATATTCCGACGACTTATCTTCACCTCAAAATGGAACTTTTATTGGTAGTTCCCGACCGTTTCGATTTGAAACGGTCGGAAAGATGTTGGCAAAGCGTAAGGAATTATTCCAAAAGCGAAAACGACACTGTGATGTTTCTCTATGTTTGGCATTACTTGGAATAGTTTTCATGATAGTGGAAACTGAATTAACATCTGCTTTTGTTATCGGACGTAGTACTTTAGTTTCGTACCTGATGAAAATGTGTATAACAGCGCTGACTGTTTCTCTGTTAATATTTATAGCTTTGTACCATTATAATGACATTCAGATATATGCTGTTGACAATGGCGTTGATGATTTAAGACTAGCAATGTCTGCGACACGAATTATTAAGATTCTCGCAGAATTCATAGTTTGCAGTATTCATCCTATTCCTGGTGCATTTTCTATTACATGGCAAGCGACTGTTGCAGACGGGCAAATTGCTCGAAAGATGACGGTTCCTCTAGATGTTATCTTGTCGCTGCCAATGTTCTTACGATTTTACCTCATTTGCAGAGCAATCATGCTACATAGCCGATTATACCAAGACGCATCCTCGCAAGGACTTGGGGCTTTGAATCGGATTCATTTTAACTTTCGATTCATTTTCAAGTCTCTTATGACTCTTTACCCTGAATACGTTTTGGCGATTATAATGTTATTCTCGTTTTTGACCTCAAGTTGGGCTCTCCGTCTCTGTGAAATGTATGGTGAAGACGGTGATAAAGATGACGTGCATGCTAGTTTTCTTAATTGCATGTGGTTAATTGCTGTGACATTCCTCTCAGTAGGTTATGGAGATATTGTACCAACATCATACTGTGGACGCGGAATCGCAGTTTTAACGGGTATGATGGGAGCTGGATGTACAGCGCTAGTTGTTGCAGTTTTAGCTAGACGCCTTGAACTTTCAAGATCAGAGAAATATGTTCATGACTTTGTTATAGACGCTGATTTGGACAAACGACTTAAACACAATGCAGCAAATGTTATGCGTGCTGGCTGGTTTGTTTATAAGTATAAAAAGTCAAAAGAGAGAAGTTCGAAAATCGTATCACATCATCGGAAGTTATTAAGGGCCGTATATAACATACGGGAGATAAGGGCCGCTCAGAGAAGACTTATGGATAATTCAGTTACTCTTGTGGAAGTCGGAAAGTCGCAAAATGAGATTACGAGCGCTATTCATATAATGAAATGCAGGCAGACAATATTAGAAGAAAAAATTGTTAATGTTGAGGGAAAGGTTTCTTTAATTCTTGATCAAGTTGTTGCTATTAAAAGAGCATTATATAGGGCCAAAGATGAATAGTAATTTCTAATTAATTTGTCAATCATTAGTTTTTATTCATATTTCAATCTGAAAATCATCAGCTTGCAGATCTTTATTGTCTGAATAATAATTATTACGTTATAATGTACCTGTCTACTTAAGAAAGAGAAGAATAATCCATCCAGTAAATTCTTTCAATGAAATTAGTTTATTGTCGCATCCCTAATATTTTGCATTTACAAACTGAGATAATCAGCAATTTATTAAAGTGTTTTAAGCTTTGTGACTAGACTTATTACTCAAAGGGTTTACAATATTCCTGGTGGTATTTCTATCATCCGTCTATGAATTAAATTTACAGCAAGTGACAAATTTGGATAGAATTCGAGTTACTTTATTCAAAGGAATTTCAATTTTACACAGATCCTATTTACTTTTCATTCTAACGAAACAAAACGATACTGTAACTATTGTATGAAATATAGTTTCATATTCATTAAAATGTCTTTAAGCAAGTTCATTGTCAATAATCATTTTCACAACAAACGTATAACTGTTACAGTTATTTGATTTTAATAATTTGTAAATGATATTCTGTTTAATTTGTGTAACATTATGACAAAAAGTAATACGAAACACAACATAAATGTATCGTACAAAAGAAATATTTTTAATATGGTTATGATTTTGGTTTACTGTCTCTCAAAAATCGCCCTTACATATTTATTGAAAAAAAAGTAAAAAAATAAAATTCTTGGAGTAAAATAACAAATACGTTCGTGAACAAAACATGTTGCAATTGTTACAAAACACCTTCTTTGCTGACATTTATAAATCTTTAAGAAGTTTGTTTTTCAGTCCGTAGAGAAAAATTTTGATTATTAAGTTCTTGCAAATAATAAATAATGACAAGTTTGCACGCGCGCGTTGGAATTTTATATAAGATAATAATTGATGTTATTGTTAAATTATCACAGAACCTTATTCAGTGTTTCCTTTTATTGGCGATAAGTACCAGGGATGGCAATCTTACATATTGGTATATAGAATAATCAAACACAAAATTTGTTATAATAATAATAATAATGATAATAATAATAATAATAATAATAATAATAATAAAAATAATAATAATAATTATAATAATAGTAACAATAAAATTAATAATAACAATAATAATAGTAATAATAGGAATACTTATTATGATAAATAGCGGTCAGCGGTGGTGGCAACAGGAGCAACAACAACTATATTTATCATCATGTTGTTTCATCAGTACAAGGACTGTTGAGGTGTTGAACATTATACCTGCAAAGAACTTGTTGCCCAACCCAGTTGCTTTTTAGAACAAACTCATTATTTGTATAATATTTGACATGTATTTGATGCATTAAAACACGTTAAACTACAAAACTAAACAAACTAATAAAGAAATAATAATTTATTAATCAGATTTATTTAAAGGACTCATAAATATTCAAATTAGATAAATTAAAAAACATAAAACATTACCGTATTAAACATTATAAACCATTTGCAATAAAATCCCCTACATGTATCAAAATAAAACGAAAATGATATATAATTGGGGAGAAGAATCTAGATTTCGACAATTAGTATGCTATTAAATGTTACAGACATTATTCATTGTCGAGTGTCTATAATAAGAGATTAATACACGGCAGAGTAGGGCCGGAAGGTGATAATCGGCCCGCAAAATGAATAATGGCCCCGAGGGCTTAAGCCCGGGCTTAAGCCCGAGGGCATTTTTCATTTTAGGGCCGATTATCTCCTTCTGACACAACTATGACGTGTATTAATGTCTTAAATACACTTGGTAGATCTAATAGTAGTATTTTTTACAGTAACTTCAAAAGAGACTGAGTTGTTTACTTTTGTGTGTACAAAGTACACTGGAATCCAGAAGCAAGTTTTATTTTCATTTTTTAATGAATTTGCCGTATTTTTTCTTTAAATTTCAATAGCTAAAAACTGTGTTTGTAGGAAATTCGCTTAGGCTCTCATAATAAAATCAAGCGATTCGTGCTAAAAAGCTACTTTCACTTTTACAGTTTACTGTTTGATGACGTAAAATATGACGTCATTGTTTCAGTATGTGCACGTGTACATGTTCAGCGGGCTGATTACTAGTTTTCGGCTCCGGGCCGCAAACTCATAATAGGTCACGTGACACTCATAATCAGTTAAAATTATAGACAATTTTGTTACTATATATAGTAACAAGTGTATTAATGATTGTTCCATAAACAATTTGACGCTTTCTTTAGTTTTTCATGTTAATAAATCAAATCATTGAGAAAAAACAAAACATTGTTACAGTACATTACTTACACTTTTTACTTACAATTTAATTGATTAATTTCAAACTTTATATAAAGAAGTACAGTATGAAATAGCAAATAACATGTAACAGGGAAATTTGGAGCTAAAAGTCCATAAACACTTAGGAAAAGGTGAAACTGCCATTAACAATGTTAGAAACACAAAATGTTTGAAGCTATCTATATGTAATGTTTTTTAACTTAAGTTACTTAATGTTCCAGATCCTTTGGCAATATTGGAATTATATAGGATGCGTCAAAGTCGTATAATATTATTGCGCTAATTATAAGATTCAGCAAAATATTCTACATATATTCTAAGCCTAAACAAGACGCAAGATTGGCAGACATAAATCGCTTGCGTGACTGATTAAGCATGATACTTTTTTCCGCCTTCAAACTAGGTGGATTTATCTTTATTCGATTTCCATCAACTGTATGTCTAATACAATCTCGTTAACATAGGACTACGAAATATCGATGGGAACATTTCAACTTTGTGAATTTCCGATTTCTTGAGACAGCACAATTCACGATTTCAACATAAGGCATTCACATATTCCAACTTCAAATTCACTTTTTGAACTTAATGATTTTACGCTCTCATTCATTCAAAATGTCCAAATATATGTTTACAATTAAATTACATTTCACTTATCAATTCATGTTTTCTATTCATTATGCCATTTGAATATGTTTGTATTTATGTTGAATTCGTATAGTTGAAATCGTGAATCACGAACTTCAAGTTAAAATTGTGAATTCATAAATTTAAGATGAAATCGGAAAGTCACGAAGATGTAATGTCCCCACCGATCTTCCGTACATTAATCATAGAGCTTCATTCCTAATAAAGCTTTGCTATATAATACAACGACATGACGCTCCCGGTAAGAAATACTATCGGTTTGAAAGATAAATAAATCTCAATTAATCAAGATAAAAATGATCTCTAAGACTTATTTGAAATACTTAACGTTTTCTTCCGTTATATCCTCTTAATGTAATAAATGATATACTGAATAGAAAACATGAATTTATAAGTGAACTGTCACAGTAAATGAATTGCAAGAATATATTTGGACATTTTGAATAAAATATTTGCGTTTAATTTTTGTTCTTTTCATATTTCAACATTTAATACAAAAGAAAATAAACATTTTTACAGTAAACATTAATAAAAAGCAAACATGAACATACCATGCAAGTTAGAGGAAAGTACAAACATAGTTTTATGATCAGTTGGCCATTATTATAGTAAAAAGCACGAAAAAGGTTAACAAAAATGTCGTGGTTTGTTAAGCAAAGACCACTAAATTAAAGTATTACTAGACTATACCCGTTTAAAATCATAATATAAATTTAAAAAGTTTATTGTTCTAACATTTCTTCATTATATATCATATTTAACGCATTGCCAACACTACTGAGAGTAATATATTAATCATTCTTTGATCAACAATGATATATATTTTATAAGCTTCTTTGAAATCAAATAATTAGAACTAACATTACTGTCCCCGTTACTGGTAAGATAATTGATTAAATAAGAAATGAGCTTATAAAATGTGTCTAAGATAGCAACCTTATTAAAGCTTTATATACATTATCTAGAGGAAAGTTCAATTGTATATTGATGCGGTATTTGATTAGACAGAAGATACTGTAACAATTTGTAAATATTTTGTATTAAACCAGCAAAAACATATATACGAGCAAGGCTTAATATGATTTATCAATCATAAGAAACAGGTTTATTATTCCAAATGGATTAAACTGCCATGACTTTGTGAAGTCGATGCTTATATGAATAAATGCATATTGTATATTAAAACAATAAACTATTTGTGCAGAACAAATACTTATTTGAAAGCTTTCATACTAAACGCACATGTTGCTTTAAGTTATGTTTTCAGCAAAATATTCATCTACACAGATGGCTGAAGCTTAAAAACAGAGAGGAAAACGCGGAAAAAGCAGAACATTGTGTAACATTTGATTTGCTTATTCTAAACAAAAGATTTTTGTATTCATTCAATGGAAATAAATTATAATACCACAATAAGAATGGATTTCACATGTATATTTTGATGATTAAATGTTGATAATCCTTCTTTTTAGTAATCCTTTATAATAATAGTCTAATCCGGTCATGAAACTTGAAGATATAGAAGCATTAGAATATGATATCACCTCGACTTCTTTCCGCCAAGTCAAGAAAATCTCTTGTACTATTCTAATAAAAAATAACAGTTGTTTTATGGACCAATACCAAATATGTCTGATATGAAAAAAAATCAAGTTCCATTGTCATTAGTGCCGTAAAAGCACAACAACAACACCACACCAACAACATCAACAAAAAACAACAACAACAGAAAATAACACTGCCTATGTTTAATTATTATCCCAAGACAGTATTAGAATCTACGGACAATAAAAAGCAAAACTTTCACAAAATTTTTGACTTTTCAATTCTAAGCCAGTAACCCGAAGGAAACTTTAGCATCTGTATTAACATCTGCATGTTTCTCAGAAGTATGCATTTAACTTTTTTATTTTTTACTCAGTTTTGAATGTAATATGCGTAAAAATTCCAAATCTTAATTATAATAATTCATAAACCCCAAATTTGTATTTGTTTGCTATCGTTACAATTTCTCAACAATAAAGGGCACTGACGGTTTGGCTTAACAAGTTCTTAGAATATTGAATCGACCGTACATGACATAGATTCAGAGTAAATTGTTAATATTCAACTGAAGCAGGTGGAAAAAAAACGCAATAAAACATTAAAATTGATAAACTCGGCACAATTGTTTGGTTCCTTATGCTAACATGTCAAACATGGAAAAGGAATAATGTCTGGGTTTAAGAAACTGTAAGTAATGCTGAGTAATATATTGAGCATCAAAGACGAGCTGTATAGGTCTACAATTATGGGCATATTTTCCATCAGTAATTTAAGTATTGATAATACACTATTACAGCAATTATAAAACACTGCTTACAAATGTTAATGAAGTTCTAAGTGATTCAAAATGAACATTTATCTGATGAATACTTTTTTTGTTCTAGAACACTTTGCTATCAGCTTTATAAAGATAACACATCGGATAATGTGTCTCACACTT